ACTATGCACTGTGATAGGTCATCAAGGTTAACCACACTTTGCTCGCCTTATGTCATAAACCTACCAAGGGGTCACGTCAGTTCATTTTAGAGTGGAGGGAGACCATTTTACCGATTGTGAGCCTTAACATGGGTCACCATAGATTCTTCCCTGGGTTCGTCGGTTAAGATCCCGGTTCGCTTAAGATTCCCGCATTTCTTGGCTCCCGAGCACCGGGATCTTAGGCGGAGACTACTGTATTGTATTCTATTTTTGAGATTTCTGTTCAAGATTTGCAGATTTTCAGTGTCACTGCGTCTTGCCCTCCCACAGTTTTTACACCTCTCACACTGAATAGGTCTACTTGAGACATTCATGTTATTATTACTCTATTTTTAGTTAGAGTAATAATTTTTATCTTTTGCGTTTATTGTATAAACCTTGACACCCAAACTGGATCTTGACAGTGGATATTCTGGTTCTAGGCCTTTTCTCAGGCTCAAAGCAAGATTCATTTTTATAGTTTATATAGGGGAATATGATGAGGGGAAAATATAAATAAGTAAGAACTGACTGAAATACCTAAGTCACAGTAGGCCTATCCCAGTGCCACACTGACATGTTGCTGACTGGAATGTACCTACATGCGTGCGTGCGCACCATTCTGTGTATATATTAATAAATAATATATAAATGAAGCATGCACTGTCATTGTTATGTAACATGCCCCTGGAGAATGGATGAGGCCCCCCCACCGGAAAATTGAGAAGCCGGGTTGGCAGTCACCCTGCGAACAGTTTTTGTAGGGAAATCGAAACTATGATATGATTCTTTTCGGACAAGTGTAGACCTTCGAAAATAGGCTTTTGTCATGAATTTCTTGACCAAATCTCCTTGAATTTTAAAAATTTCTCCTTGAAACCTCCTTGAAATCTCCTTGAATTTGGTGGGAAGTTCATGGCAGGAACCCTGAATATCTCCCATGCAGTGATAAATATTAATCTTTCTTCAAAATGATAAATATTATAATAGTCATTTCTGTTTTGATCTACACAGTTATCTGTTCAACAAGAATGATATTTTAGAGGATAGACCTTGTTTATAGAAGGTGAAAATTTCTTCTTTTGTATTTGGTAGTCTTTAATTTTCTTCCCCCCAGCCTCCGTATTTCTTTATATCTATAAATTATGTGTAAAGGGCTTTTACAACCGCTTGTTAAGATGTGAAATGTACCTCAGAAATTATGTGAGAAGGCCTTTAATTCCCTCCAAGGAAAATGAAATATCTTGTAAATGCTCTGTAAAGTTTCTCAAGTAGCGTGTTTGCTAAGGTGATTGTTTAACTTTTTTGACTAATTTCTTTTTTCTCTACTTTCTTCTTTTCTGTCTTGGTATTTTTTTCCCCTTCATATTGCACTCACTCTACTAACAGCAGAAAAAAAGTAAAGCGCAGTGCTGTTGTCTTTTTTGCTGCTGAACTCTCCTCTATCTTTTTCTCTCTTGCCTTTGACTCTCTAAAGAATATTGGCTGTCTCTTGTTCCTCTCAAAACATTTCTGGGAGTGATCGTACGTTTGTACGTCTAAATTATATAGTGAAAACCCATCAGATGACAAAAGCGTGCGTTTGAGCGGAGCGTGCTTTGTATGGCGTGCATTTAGGCAGAGACTCCTGTATAGTCCAACCTGCTCTTATGACCACCTGTCCAAGACAGCCACTTGTACAGACGACCACTTTCCACATTATGTTTTTTTTCTTTATTGTAATGACAAGACTCTTCCATCTCTCTCGTATCTGTATCATTTCCCATCTTTCTTTTATTTTCCCTCTCTACTGTTCCTCTTGTGACTGTGTCAAATTATCTCTGCCTCAGGCCTTCAATCTGTTTGAAGCATACTATGATGAAGGGTTGATGTTTTCCCTAAGCGGCCCATTTATATCTGCAGGTCTTTGCTGCTTGTAGCAGAATGTATTTTCCTTTGCTTTTTAAAATATTTCCTGCTTGGTGCGCTTACTCACACTCACATGATGACCTTCTAGACCTTTCACTGTATAACGTTTGCTTCTCTCACTTTCTGGATCCTCACCTCCTTTAATATTCTCATCAGTTCCTGCTTGCTGAAACATTTGTAGCTCGGCATACTCAATACGCAGATGAAATTGTAGAGTTGAAAAGATTTGTTTTTTAATATCTCATTTTTTATGCTTTGACAGGTACATCATCTGCAGAGCTATCAGAGAGAAATCGAGGAATGCAGCGACCGAAATGACTAAAAACAGAAGTGAGTTTTCTGAGAGCAAGGTCATAACAAGGGTAAGTAATCAGCTGTAGTGAGACCAAAGCTTCAGCTTGTGTATTTGAAAATTTGGTGCTGATTGATATATATTTTTTCCTGTGTAAAAAAACATTCACCATTTTGTATTTCCATGGAAAGCAAACATTTAGTGATTATATTTTGAGATAGATTTCTGGATAATGTAGGAGAACAAGTGGGTCACTGCTTTTATTATCTTGTGGTTTCAATAAACTGTTTGTGTTGATGTCATTGCACTGGATAGCTTGTACTTTAATACTTTATTTTTTATATGATTCCTACTTTGTCAGTGTGGTACAGTCAAACCTCATTACACCGTCCACCTTTGGACGAGCATGAAGTTGATAGTACAGTGGGGCTGGAGGTGCAGCGAGGTTTTCATGTCCTCTGATATCACTTGAGTCTTTTCCTGCACCTGTTGAGGGAAGCCCGGCCAACCGCCTATGTCTGGTCCCGCACCAATTGCGAGATCAGTATTAAAATACGGCAGCGCTTCTAATTCACTGCGTAAGTTGCAGGAAACACCACACCAAGTATCATTTACTTTCTAGTGATCAAAATTCCGTTTCGGATCTTGTTTCCGAGTAGTAGTTTTTGTGAAGCAGATTATTTTTGAAGCTCACATCAGCCGATCCGCAAAGTTTTTCTTCTAGCACTGCGATCATGGAGTTGGCGTTCGTTACGATGTCGAAACAAATGTGCTCGATTTTGAGATTTTTAACGATAACCAAGACAATTTTGCTAGCATATTGAAAGCTGCAACTCTGATTTAGTTTCAGAATACATGTAGCACCTACTAGCAACCTCAAGGAACATGTTTACCAGTCTCTAGATGAAGTAATGCGTTATCTCCCTTCGATCTGCAACATACACTGCTAGACGAGTCAGAGTCCTCACTAAATTAAATGCCCCACAGGCATTCGCCAGCCTGTTAGTTAATTTTGGGCTGATATCTTTAATTCTATTAAAAAAAACCAAAATTGATTAAGGCCTAAATATAATAGCATTTTCATAATTATAATCAGGGCATCACGCGAGTTGCGAAATTTGATGCTGAGTTACAAAGTTATGTTTTATTTTAATTGTACTCTTCTACATTGCACATTGTATTGTGTTCGCTTGTGACACACTACAGCACTGTAGATCTGTCCATATTATCTGAAATTTTCATATCCAAGACAAGGGTGAGATGGGTGAGGAGGGAGCAAATCGACGAAAAGCGTTTGATCTAGACCTAGGCCTAGCTCGTAAACTTGTGTGCGAGAGATCGTCAAGTAACCACAGAGTAAATGTGCCCTGCGCCATGTGTATCCTCGTGTGTACTGTGTAGTTCTGGCAGCCTGTTCAACGGGGTAAATTTACAGTAGTTTAAATTTAATAAGGACTGTGCAACTGAGACAGTGTGCGGATGGCGGTGTAAAGGCACAAATATTATGTTTATATAGGGGATTTTTTTCCCACATTAGCAAAACCTGCTGGTAAACGAGGCAGTCGGTACAACAGGGGGTGGTACAATGAGGTTTGACTGTATATATATATATTTATATTTATTCTTCCTTGCCTTCCACTTTTCTCTTTCCTCGCAAATATGATCTAATAAGAAAAATAAAAAGAAAGATTGATTAGTTTCATATTTACATTTCAGACGGAGAAACGAATGTCTGAAATTCAAAGCTGGCTTGGCCTAAGTGATGAAGTCATCTCTAGCTGGAAGGTATTAATATTATGACAGCTGCTACAAATTTATTTATATTTTAATCACAGGTTATGATGACTGCTATCGCAAGGTTTTATATATATATATATATATTTATATAATATATATATATATATAGGCCTATATATATATATATTGTGACTAGCACAATATAGGACTTCAGCCCGGAAATGTTAATGTTTTATTTAAATCACTTGTTCTTATGACCACCGCCATGGGGATGTTTATGCAGTGATCCTCGCTTCCACTGAAGCCTGACTCGTTGAAATCTCCGACTCTAAGTATTGCATGTAGGTTTGTAACGCCACTGAATATTCAGGAATTCAGACAAGCCATTATGGTATTGCAGAAGTAGTAGGCAGATCCTTCATGGGTCTCTGAATTTGATTTGCTCAAAATGAAGTAGGCCATGTGTTTTAGCTAAGTGATCGTATCTATGACTGTGCACTAAGCAGCTTGTCCTTAAGACAGCCTTACTGATATATGCACAGTGGGGTCCCCTTTAACGCCTATAGGACTGGCTTCCTACTTGACTTTCCGTTCTCCAGGACTGGAGCTGTCACCCTCTTTCTGACTACGTGAGATATGGGTTACTTTAATATCAATAACTCTGCTTTTGGTAAAGTTGTAGACATGAAAATGAGGGCTCTCATGGCCTAGAGGTTAAAGTGTTGGGCTCTCATTCAAAGGTCCCGGGTTCGAATCTGTGAAGCGACTGAAAAATTTTCTTCTCTAAAATTTTCCCCTTTCACCTCCTTTTCTGCTCTCTAGCAATGTTCTGTCGTCTGCTTTCGTCTGTTTTTTCTGCCCCTACCCCCTCACCTCCTGTGCCTTCTCCTTTAGGCTCATCACTCTTTCTGCAACCTTTCCACTGATACTCCTTTGCTCCTTCTTACTGCTGTCTTTCAGCCACACCTCTGATCTTCTGGTAGGAAAGATCTACACCTAGCTTTCTCAGACAAGTGCGAAAAATCTCGGAGGGCCCAAGTGCAAGTTGCGCACGTTAAAGATCCCTTGGTAGTCTAAAATCGATAAGAGTAGGCTTCAGCCGCCACCCATGCAAAATTCAAAATTTCCTTCCAACTGAAAATATTAGGTGTATCCCGTACACTCATATGACCTTATGCAGTTGCGAGCGCCGTAAGACACTTTCAAATAAAAAAAACAACAACATAAAAATTCACCAAACTCTTTAGATTATTTTTACCTATGCCATAACATGTTTTCTTTGAAAGTACATTTTGATTTGAATTTTTCAGATGTAATCAATTATTTAATAGTAAGCTTTTGTTCAGAGTCAGTTCCTAACAGGGATAAAAAATCAGATCTACTAGATCTGATTTTAATCGCTTTCTACATTTGATGGCCTGAAATCGTAAGGAAAATATTAAAAGGGAATTAATCGGGGGTTGATGAAAACATGAATATGTTTGGGGAAACGTTGATCATCAACAGGCCTTTGTCAACAGCTAGGTCATTTCGCTCGTGAGTATTCGACTCTGTGGTCGGGCACTGCGAGTATTCTTGTCTGCGGCTCCGTAAATGTTAACAAAACACAATTATTCCGAAAACATCAGTAAACCAAGAAAAAAATAAACCAAACCAAAAAAGCCAGCTAAACGGAAGAAAATCCTACGGTCCTGTAGATTTTGGTTGAAGTGGACTCCCTTGTATATATCTTGGAGTACGCTACTTTTTTTTTCTCTTGTACAATTTAAAATTTTGGGTGACCTTATTTAGGCCACACTGTGGCCTAAATAAGCTAAACCCCCCTCCCTTACCTTATTTAGGCCACACTGAGGCCCAAATAAGCTAAACCCCCCTCCCTTATCTTATTTAGGCCACATCATATGGTAGGTTTCTTGAACTAACCATGGATTCGGAAGGTCGAGATTCTAATTCTACTGATCTTTTTATTTAGTGCGGTGGATTATTTCAAAATGGAGGATGATACTAAATGATAAGTGGACCAAGGGTAAGAGTTGTGTGTCTGTGTGTGTGAGTATGTGTTTGTTTTGTGTGTGGTTGTGGTGAGAGAGAGAGAGATCTAGAGAGACAGAGTAAATGCAATAGTGTGTTTGTATGTGTGTAGGTGTGTAATGTGTGAATGTTATTGTGTACATGAGTGTCTATCTCAGTTGTACGGTCCAAATGTACATTATTTTGTTGAGAATTTTACATAGAACTCAACTACAAAGCACCTTTATACAAATTCACAGAAATATTCTTTTTGTGCTTATTGAGGTGCAGTACATGGTGATTTTACCTGCAAGGATTTAATTGGACAAAATGGGCAATATCTTTATAATGCTAATACTAATGGTCATATTTAGACAAATCCTATATCATTCTCTTTTTTTCTTAACAGCTCATGGTTATTAAAGAGTAAGCAAACTAGATCAAGGTAGTAATTTCGGATTCCTAATATTATGGGCATTCTTTAAAATTGTTAACTTTTTAGCGCTTTTCTCAACATAAAACGGATTGGGTTAAAAAACAACAACAACAATGACCTTATCTTTCTTTTTCAAGGTATTGTGCATACATCTGTGTGAAACTATTATATTCTATGCTTTCAAGTACATGAAAAAAGCTAATAAAGTCAAGTAAAATGTTCTTCAGAGACATAGATCTAGTAGTAGGCCCACTGGAACATTTTATAAACCGTGAAAAGATGACCAGAAAATAACAAAATTATCTTATGATCTTCACTTGCACTTGCATTTTTTGGGACAAATTATAGTCTACCTCATTATCTTTTTTCCCCACATTTTTCTTCACTATTCATGACAACTGGCATGTTTTTCAGTTATTATCAAGGAAGTGGATAGGCGGACCACGGGGTCTATCTAGCCCCAAAAGGATAGGTGGACCCCGGGGTCTACCTAACAAAATGCTGTTTTAGGATGTGAACCCCGGAGTCAGCGGAGTGAAATAAGTAGATCTAGGTTTAACTAAGGATCGGTGGACCCCGGCGTCAACATAGTGAAATAAGTAGATCTCAGTCTATTTTATAATAGGACTGGCGGAGCCCGTGGTCAACGTAGTGAAATTATAAGTAGATCTAGGTTTAATAAGGATTGGTGGACCCCGGGTCAACGTAGTGAAATAAGTACACGTAGATCTAGGTTTAATTTTAAAGATTGGTGGACCCTAGAGTCAACGTAGTGAAATAGGTAGGTTTAAGGTGGACCCCAGGGTCTACCTAACGAAATACTAGTTAGGTTTTAGAATAGGTGGACCATGCAGTCACCGTAGTAAAATAAGTAGGTTTAATCACGGTGTCCCGGGGGTCCACCAATCCTTAATTAAACCTTCTTATTCTTCTACGGCTATGGTGTCTCCGGGGTCCACCAATCCTTTTAAAATTAAACCTACTTATTTCACTACGATGACCCCGGGGTCCAACGATCTTTAAAGAAACCTAGAAAATCTACTTATTTCACTACGGTGACCCCGGGGTCCACCTGTCCTAAAACCTAGTATTCTGCTAGATAGACCCCGAGCCCCGGGGTCCACCTTAAACCTGCTTATTTATCACTACGTTGACCCCGGGGTCCACCAATCCTTACTTAAACCAAACCTTATTTCACTACGGTGACTCCGGTATTCACACCCTAAAACCTAGTATTCCGCTATGCAGACCCCGGAGTCCACCTATCCTCTGCAGGACTATACTATTATCAATTTGCAATTTTCATTGATTAGCATATTTTTAAAAAAATTGAATCAGAGACTCACTGTCTAAAAAGTCCACTGTTAATGCTATTCTTATCAAAGAAAAGGCACAATTTGACTTTATGACATGTTTAAAAAAAAAGAGTTTTAAAAATATCCAGAAGATAAAATAAAATGATTATATAGATCTAGATCTAAACGTATTTTATTATGTATATATATATACTTAAAAGTAAAAGACTGAGCAGAGGCTTACAATGCAAATTCTGTGCTCTACAAGTAGATTAGTAGAGAAAGTCTTAAGTTTGCGCAAAACAGATTTTAGAAAAAAAAGTTGGATCTAATTATTCTAATAATAGTAAAAGTGATTGTTATGGTGAGATTTGTTATTATTAACTCTAGAAATACAGATAGTTGTTGAATCTAAAATTAACTAGAACTGTACAATTAGTTTTATTTCAATTCCAAAGCCCAAAGGCATAGCAATGAGTTAGATCTAGATCTAGCAGTTGTAGGCTCTCTGGCTGCTTCTAGAATAGGCCTGCTACTACTGATTCTAGACAGGGAATCTAGATCTAGCTATCACCTGCACTATTAAAGTCAAATATATGGTAAAATAAAAACAAAACTGTGAATCCCTTTATCAGTCAGTACATCCCAATTGCCATAGTCGCACGTATTAATAGTTGAATAATTATACCGAAGCAACACGTTATCACAGTGTTCAGGGGAGAGTGGGGTGCCCGGGTCGCTGACCAGTCGATTCGGTGGTTTGGCTTTTGTAGATCTATGCATTCATTTATTATTTTTTTTGCGGAAAGCCCTATTACTAGATCTATTAGTGTTTAACCTCTACAGCTAAGGCGTCAAAGGATGTTGGAAAATAATAATACGTCCTGAAGTTTCATAACTTATACAGAATAACACAGCCAGTAGTTTTTATTTCATCGAGTTTTAAAAATGGCCTTGTAACTTGTTAGTTTTCAGAAGCAAATTTTAATAGTTCCAGTTCTACCGAATCGATTTTCACGCAAATTCAACCATTTTGATGACCTTTCTTTTCCTTTTAAAAAGATGTAGGCCTGTCGGATGTGGCAGTGCGATTAACACTAAGTTGTTTAGACCCATCAAAACACGAGGCTTCGTGGCCGATCACAAAGGTCTACGGGGCTTATCGAGGCCGATTCGCCCTGCCGCGTGCACGTTCACTAAACTGCCTACTAGATAGAATCTACTACCAAAGATTCTCTACATGATCTTTGCTACTACTACTACTAGATCTACATGTACTACTACGAGACTGTACGAGGGATGTACTACTACGAGACAGTACGAGAGAGTGCCACCCAGCCAAAGATAGTGTAACTTTGACTCAGCCACGTTGTGTACACACTTTTTATACCCCAAATTTGACCCGGAAGTCCATTCGGAGGATTTGACCTTTTCACTTGACCAAAGTGTGCCAAAATGGTAGCCTAGATTTTGCCCCTCCATGAAGGAAAAATCTGGCCCTCATTCAAACTTTTGGGGTTGAGCAAAATTTTGCGTATCATGCTTTGTTCTTACAATATCATTATGATATATATATATATATATATATATATATATATATATATATATATATATATATAAGTTGTACACTGAGACAAAACTGTACTAAATGAGAAGGGTGCACCATTATGAAAGTGGAACGAACTCAGTTGCCTGAAAAGGGTGTCCCCCGGTAGTTTGAGCATGTGTGGCCTAAATAAGCTAAACCCCCCTCCCTTACCTTATTTAGGCCACACTGAGGCCCAAATAAGCTAAACCCCCCTCCCTTACCTTATTTAGGCCATATGTGGCCTAAATAAGCACTCCCTAAAATTTTACACATTGAGTAGAAATATGCTCTCATCTGGGTGACCTTGACATAGCCACAGGTGTATCAGTGAATCTAGAAGCAGCAGACCACTTCGGTTGGAGGGCTCACTGAAAGTTTTGCTACCTCTGGTTCTGTTTCTAGTACTGAAAGTTTTATCACCAGTGTCTGTGGTGTAACGGTTAGGAGCTTCACTGTGTCACACAGGAGACCTCAGGAGCGGGGAAAATTTTTATAATCTGGGTCTTTTTGCTAAGATGTTGTGTTCCTCTCTGCCCAGGTTGGCCCCAGCAGGCAGGTTTAGAAGCCTGCCTCTCAAATGATGATCTAAATTAAAGAAAAAGAGAAAGTCAAATCAAGAGTAGAATGGTCAGTGCTGTGCTTGTTAATTTACAGTCTTGTATTATTTGTATGAATGAATATTTTATGTGCAATGTTCTCAGGGTTTGTTTATTTTCCTCTACGACTTTGGGAAAGGAAGGTAGCTAGCTGTGGAATCTTGAGATTGGGCTGATAATTGTAGTGGACCCTTGTTACTGTTATTGTTTAGAGGTTCTACACCTGACATATTGTTTCTTTTCTCTTGTGGCAGAACTTGGGAATTGGTTTCTTGAAATGGATCTTGAAAAAGGTTGAAGCTGGAGAGAAGTCAATTTCGGATATTGGAGATCAATTTCCAGTCATATGGTAAGTTTGTGTGTATGAATCAGTTGGTGAATTGTTTAACGTTAAAAAAAAAGTTGGAAGCACACAAACTGTTTGATTTGAGAGAGAGTAGAGTTGTTTGCTGGTTCAAAGATAAGGACAAGTACATTTTATGTGGAAGTGGAAGGATGACTGAGTGACTCTGACAGTATGTTTGTCATGATGTGGCCATGCTTGACGCTTTAGGAGGAAATCAACGTATGCAAAATGTGGGTCTCAGCTCAGCTGTGAAGTCAGTTGACATGAACAATCTTGTCTTGATCTCAACAAACAGGGATAAATGTCAGCAAAGTATTTTCTAAGGAGTGGTAGTAAGCCTTACTAGCATCTTTTGGGAAACTTTGGTATGCGATTTACAATTTGGGGCAAACACGTTCTGATGTTGTGGCTTATGTTTGTAATAATCTTGCAAATGGCACATCTTGTATGTCTGTGCTTGCTGTAATTGTCTTTATACCATAGTGCAAAGATTATTGTTCACTACACATGAAATCTCCTTCTTTGAAAGACACTAGTTTTATCCTCTGATTGCAGGCCTTTTCTAGTTCCTAATCAAAGACAAACAGGTTGCTTTAACTTTACTCAATATAAAGGCAAAGAGGAACTACTAGTAGTGTTCAAGATATAGAGCTCCAAGCAAGTAGAGCCCACCAGCCCCTGTTGGAAGCTCATAATATCTTGGATGAACTTTTTTTTTTCTAGGAAAGAATTTCTTGCAGAAGAGGGGTTGACAGACAACATCCCAGTGGAATGTTCAGAGCCAGACACAGAGTTGGAACAATCTGATGGGACCTCAGCGTCAGGGTACTCTTGATGAAACATTTTGATGTAGTAGTTGTGTTACAGGACAATAATGTACATGAAGAGGCAAAGGGTACTATACATGATATAAGATTTATTGTAAACTGACCTGAAACATGTTGCATTTTCTGTTTTGTTACATTTTCTTCCAATTTCTTTGTTACTGTGGTAATACTATTTGAAGGGGAAAAAAAAGAAAGACAATTTATTTCTTCAGATAATACCTTGTTTCCTCGAGAAAATAAAAATAAAACCAATCAAATGACCAATGTGACAGAATACTTATAATCACTTCAGGTTGTAATTGTTGCATAGGTATATATGTATTTTGTTAGACATGGTTATTTTGATGTGAAATCAATGAGGTTTGTAAGTCTGTAGGCATTGTCAGTAATGTGTGCTAGTGTAAGTGCAAGGGAAAGTAGTAAGTGCAAGTGTGGTTTATTGACCTCTGACTTTTGTTGGCTGAGAAAGATTTCTCGTCATGTTCTTCTAAGATGGGGGGGGATGGATGGCGGGGGAAATCAAGTGTTGGCCTAACAAGGCACTTTGTGGGGGTGGGGGGGGGGGGGGGGAGAAAAGAAATAAATTTTATTTATATATTATTAATCATCTGGTCTACTCAAATTAAGTGGAAATTTTGAGTTTAGAGAGTTTTTTTGTTGTTTTTTTTAAATGTAGGTATTTACATATTGACACAGTTTAGATCATTTAGCAACCTGGGCTGAGAGGGATGCAGTGTTCTAGCAGAAAGAGTGAGATACAGTCAAACCTCATTGTACCCCC